GCAACATCACTGAGCGCTCAACTGGTGACGTCTGAGTCTTAAGGTCGGTCAAAAATGGGGTGTCTACAGTCGCTGATCATGCTGCCTTATAGTTAGCTTCACTATGCCATATCTACAATTAGGTTTCCCTCTTGATTTTGAATTTAAATATGAGTAAAAGTTGAAGCCACGTCATCTTGCATCTCTTTGCTGATCCAGTGCTTATGCAGATCTACAAAAACCAATACTAACTGCCACGTTTGTGATTATGATTGAAGATCCAAATTGTCTTCCCGTATTGCCCTTATCCTGCTATGTGTTGAACTATAATTGTAATCTTGTGAATTATTTAGTCTTTTTTTTTTTAATGAACCGAAAGGTCCATTAAAGTGTAAATTACATAAAATGGTAGCCGCTTACATGCTTGGGTTTAATTTTTTAGGAATAAAAGTGAGTTTCTCAAAATGTAAAATTGCACATTTAGACAATCTGCACTATAAAAGTTTTGAATTTTTTCTCATTCTAGAACAAATTTCACATTATGAATAAAAACGTAACACTCTAATGTAACACTCAAATAACGTAACACTTTAATGTAACAAACTAAAAACTCCATGGCATACTTTTCTTAAAAGTAATAACGTAACTCTAAAAAAAAAAACTTATTAATGTACTTTTTTTTAAACGTAACGGTTTAATGTTAAAAAAAGAAGAAGAAAACTTTGTAGTATACTTGTTCCAAATGTAATACTCCAATCAATGTAATTTCAAACGTAATACTCTAATGTAACACATACAAATATATATAAAAAAAAAACTCGTTAGTGTATTTTTTCCAAACCTAACACTCACAGGTTCTACATTTGCCCAAAACTTACTAAGCTTTCATTTGAGATGTAGGTTGGCTTTTCAACTTTTTGACTATTTTAGCCTGAGACTAAAAAGCCTCATTTGGGATAGGCTTTTTAGTTTTTTTGACTTTTGTAAAAGAAAAATAAAATAATTATGGTTTGGATGTGACACTTTGTTTTATTAGGTTAAAAAACATATTTTGTCTTTTTGTAGCTAAAATAGCCCCAATTCAACCCAAACCTTTATGCCAAACATAGGAATATTTGTACTCTTTTTGGAATTGTTTGAAAAATTTCACATCATTTTTTTTAGTGTTATATTGGAGTATTACATTTAGGAAAAGTATACTAGGATTTTTTTGTATTACATTAAAGTGTTACATTAAAGAGTTTTGTGTGTGTTACATTAGAGTGTTATACTAAGGAGTTTTTTTTGGAGTATTATATTAAAGTATTACGTTTGGAAAAAGTACACTAATAATTTTTTTTATGTATTACATTAAAGTGTTACATTAAGAATTTTTTTTGTGTTACATTAGAATATTACACTAAGGAGTTTTTATGGAGTGTTATGTTTGGGAAAAGTATACTAATGATTTTTTTATTTTATTTTTTTGTGTTACATTAGGATGTTACACTTATTTTTTTTTTTTGAGTGTTACATTGGAGTATTACAGTTTAAAATTATACTCCTTTGGAAATGTTTGAAGAATCCCACATCCTTCACATTCTTTTGAAATGTTTGAAGAATCTTATATTTCAAATTATTTTTATAGTCATTTTAAAATATTTTATAAATAAAAAAGATTTTCATATAAAAATCAATCTAAATTTAATTCCCATACATTGTGTACTTTTTTTTTCTAACACACAAAAAAAAAAAAAAAAAAACAAAATAAGGGTATAACAAAAAAAAAAAAAAAAAAAAAAAAAAAAACATAATAAGGGTATAACCAATCAATGGAACTAATTAGTCCTTAAAATTAAATGAATCACCATGGTTCAAGATGAGATTTGTAGATAAATTTTTCAAATAAAATTAGGAAAATGATAAAAAAAGATACAATTCGTCAATCCATCAATTAAGGAAAAGTGTGGTGTCGGATAAAAAGGAAAAGCAAAGCAAAAGTAAAAAACTTTTTCATTAATTTCCTATCTCTTTATGAATTTTAATTATTTTTAACCTTTTTAAATTATTATTGAGACACTTGTGTAGTAATAATCTTTGTTATAAAATATTATATTTAATAAATTTCAAATCAATTACATTACAAACGACAATTAAAATTTCAAAATAAAAAAGAATAGTATTCGATGCATCATGCTATACTTTTTGAAACTCATACTAGAAATGATAGTATTTGATGCATCATGCTAAAAGGAAATGAGATTAGGAATGGGATTTTGAAACTCAAACCTAGATGTCAAATTTGATTGATTCATACACTAGTTTTTATATTTATATTGTGTTTATCATTCAATGCATTGTAAATAGTGAGACGCATTACACAAATATTATTTATATAAATGATATAATAAATATAATATAATATATAAATAAAATTAATTACTTTTCCATTGCACTAATAACCCTAAAAGCTTTAGTATTACTTCACCATAATGAAGAACCATTTACGTGACGAGTTCGGATTATCGGCCGCACTATCCTGCGCTCATCCCTGCGGCACTTCAAAACGATGTTGTTTTGAGTGATTTTTTTTCCCCCTTCATTCTTATTCAGCATCTTTTCGTTTTTGAGCCCTAGCGAGATGAACGAAGTGGCAATGAAGTCGAAAGAGGGAGACAATGGAAAGAGTAAAGCGGCGGATCGGCGAGAGGAAAACGACAACGAGCGAGTCCGACGAGTCACCTATTGATGTGTGAGATCTTCGCTGGAGGAAGATGGAGGGAAAATCTCGACGGTGAGCTCGATCGGCCATTGTTGACGCGTGAGATCGAATTAAAACTGTGATCTAGAAAATATAAAGAGATTTGAAGAGTTAATGCCTTGTTCCATTGATATTTTTTTCTTTCTCTCTAGATTTCTATGTTTCTCTCTCTTCTTGTGCATGCAACACATATCCACAACCATGGATTTGTGTTTTTTTTTGGGTGATTTTGTGAGGTGGGTTTATGAATCTTTGGGCATTTAAAGTGTTAAAATTGAAATTGTAAACATGAAGAAAAACACATTTCCAAGTCTCACTTTGCCATTAAAGTTGTTCAGTGAGAGGTTCATGATTTTGATACCAAATAGAGGAAGGAAATTAGATGGAGAAAAAAAAAATCAATTATGAGCAGTCATGGAAGGGCTTGGCTGTGGTGCGATAGAACTGGATGCTAGCGAGGAAAGGTAAGGAAGGGATGTCGGTGCCGGCAGCTTTGTTTTTCTTTTCTGTTTTCCTTTTTTTGGTTTGAATATTCAATGGAGGTTGAGAACAATACTCACAAAGAAATTGCAGGCAAGTTTGCAGAGAGAGAAAATGAGATGTTAAAGAAAAGGAGATGTGTGGGGAGGGTGGGCACTGGGCAGAAGTAAAATTTTGGGGAAAAAAAAGAATAATAATCACACTAAACAAAACGATGCCATTTTGGCAAGCGCAATATAGAGGGCCGTAGGGTAGTGCGGCCGATGATCCGGACTCTTCAGGTGACACCCTCTCATCACACTATATTGTTAGTTTGTCATAAATTACTAACAATTAATAAGAAAGTTGTTATTTAATTTATGAGGTAGAAAACTCCATAACAATTGTCATACAATTTTTATTATACATAACAGTATAAATTTAAATTTAACTATTTAAAAATTATTCAAAATTATTATTTTATAGTTGAAATTTATTGTACACATCAATTCCATACTATATAAATTTAAATTTTATCCCATAATCACCCATCTATTTAGCCGCGATTTGGCATTTGTTGTGGGCTAAATAATCACATATGAACAAAAAAAAAAACTACAAAATCATAAAATGCCAAAACACTTGAGTTGCGATGCAAAACTACCAAACTGACCTATATACAAACAAAAATTTAAAAAAACATCATTTCCAAGTGTAGGGTAATTTTGTCATTCCAATGCAAAAAAAAAAAAATCAAAAAAGCCAAATAAACAAAAAAGTCTCAAGTTAAAAAAGTCAAAAAAAAACTAAAAAACTAACTAAAAAAGTGCCAAATGAACCTTAGATTCCCAAACTTACTGTAAATAAAAATAAGGGCAAATTACATATACTTCCATCGAGGTTTAGCAAAAGTACAAATACCCCTATGAGGTTTGAGAAATTACAGATACCCCCTTGAAGGTACTATTTGCAGAACAAATTAGAAGGTAAATTGTTATGAAAATATAAATCTCATGGGGCAATTTGTTATGAAAATATAAACCTCAAAGGGTATCTGTAATTTCTGAAACCTCAAGGGTATCTGTAATTTAACGAAATCTCGAGGGAAGTATATGTAATTTGTCCTAAAAATAAAGGACAAGCATGGAGAGGAAATAAATAAGCCCAAAAATGGGAAAGGCATAACAATGGCTTCGTTTAGGAAGTGGGCTGCCTTTTTAGTTTTTTGGTTATTTTAGCTTGGGGCTAAAAAATCTGCTTTGGGAAAAACTTTTAACTTCTTTGGGAACAATTTTTAACTTTTTTGTGAGAGAAAGAATGTAATAATTATGAATATGATGTTTTATCTTATTGATCTAAAAAATCTATTTTGTTTTTTTTAACTATTTTAGTCTCTCTCTCTCTCTCTCTCTCTCTCTCTCTCTCTCACACACACACACACACACACACACACACACACTTCCAAACACCTCCCTTCCAAACGGAGCTAACACACACACACCCCTCCCTTCCATCCCTTCCAAACACCTCCCTTCCAAACGGAGCTAACACACCTCCCTTCCAAACGGAGCTAACACACACACACCACCTCCCTTCCAAACGGAGCTAACACACCTCCCTTCCAAACGGAGCTAACACACACACACCCCTCCCTTCCATCCCTTCCAAACACCTCCCTTCCAAACGGAGCTAACACACACACACCCCTCCCTTCCATCCCTTCCAAACGGAGCTAATAATGATTAGTAAAAAGAGAGCCTTCTGTGATGTAATAGTGAGTGAAAAATCGGAATGATAAGAAGATATTCCCAAACACACACACACACCTCCAAACCTCCCTTCCAAACGGAGCTAATAATGATTAGTAAAAAGAGAGCCTTCTGTGATGTAATAGTGAGTGAAAAATCGGAATGATAAGAAGATATTCCCAAACACACTCATCAGCTCTCAACGGCGAAAACATTTCGGCAAATTTCAAATCAAAATCAAAATCAAAATCAAAATATAGATAATAGAGTTTTTACTTACAGGCTTACAGCACAAACAACAGGCGGAGTATAAATAGGTGTAGAGAGATAAAATAGCTTTTTAGTCAAACCTAAGAAACTGGAAGAAGAACTAGTACTACTGCGAACGCGAGGAGGAGAGAGAATCGTGTTGGATTGCGATCGGAGTATCGGATGATCGTTGTTGATCGGGGATGGTCGTCGGCGGAGGCGGAGGGCGGCGGAGGAGTTGGATTTTCTGGTGAGTCGGTGGTGGTGGTGGTGGTTGGGAGGGGTTTAGGTGAAGGATGAAGAAGGGGAAGGGGAAGAACAGTGGGTTGTTGCCTAATTCATTGAAGATTATATCGTCTTGTATCAGGACTGTTTCCACAAATGCTAGCACCGTCGTCCGCTCCGCCGGGGCTTCCGTCGCCGCTTCCATTACTGCTTCTTCCGATGATCGCAAAGATCAGGTTTTTTTTTTTTAAATTTAATTTTATTATTATTATTATTTTAGTTTCTTCAAATTTATTAATTTGCTTTTGGCGGACTATATTTGAACTTGATTAATGCCTCTGTTAATAATTTTATTTTTGTGTTGAATTATTGGGCTTATTTAGGAGATGAGTTGTCTTGAGGTGTAATTTCTAGCATCTGTTTGCAACTGAATTTCTTTTCGAATCATATGGAAACTTGTGAACCAAGATGTTATGTGTTTTGTGAACTTTATGAGATAAATTTTCAACCCTCCTTTACCTGTCTTGTTAGTTGCACTTGATCCTATGGTAATTCTCACTGATCTAGAAAGACAAGTTTGAAGAGTTCTGAAGGAAGTCTGAGAGATTACCAGGCCATTCATTGGTTTATGAAATTTGAACCTTACATGATATTTTAGGATGTTGAAATTTGAATGAATTTCCCTCACTGAAATTACATGGCTAGAAGAAGTAAAAAAAAAAAAGAAAAAGGAAAAAGATTGGGGTTTTTGCACTGACTGTTTAAATGTGACAAACATTAGCATACTAAGCATAAATTATAATTTTCATGAAAAATTACAATCGTCGTGGTCGTACCATTCAGTTGTTGTAACATCATTGGAGGATTGTTGTATCCAATTGTTGTAAGTTGCACTAGTTTCTCATGTATGTATGTGTTAATAGGGGAAGCTCTAGTAAGGATGTCAGGTAAGGGTTTGCTGGCATGACCATGAGAGAGAATACATCTCAAGGCTTGCTTTTGTGAATTTTAATTATGCTGCAAAGTGTATAAGTGGTCAACTTCTTGTTATATATAATTACATTCCTTGATAGTTTAGAACTAAAAATATGGCGCATGTATAGGATTAACTGTCACTTAGTGGAGTGGCCTTGTAGAACTAGTCTTCTTAATCACAACTTAAAAGTTATTTAGGGTGGTTCACAATTCACTCTGATACGTAGCATAAAAATCACGTTGATTTGATGTTAATTTTATCTGGCTTATGTGAACTGAGTGAACTCTCGATTGATTTTATGAACTTGCGATACCATACTTGCGTCTGAGTCATCCATGCCGGTGCTGGACTCATGATTCTTTGCTCATAGCATTTGTTTTTCGTTTGTCTTCTATTGGACTGCATTTACCAGGTTGTAGTTCTGAACTTGTATTGGCAAACAGGTAACTTGGGCTGGCTTTGACAAACTTGAGTTTGGTCCTAATGCCTTCAAACATGTTCTGTTACTTGGTTATCAGAACGGTTTCCAGGTCTTTGATGTTGAGGATGCCTCTAACCTCAGTGAATTGGTTTCAAAGCGTGATGGTCCAGTTACATTCTTACAGATGCTGCCAGTTCCTACAAAATGTGATGGTGATGAAGGATTCAGATCGTCGCATCCTTTGCTGTTGGTTGTTGCAGGGGATGAACCTAACAGCTCAAGCCTGGGTCAAACTAGTGGCCATTTGCGTGATTCGGGGAGAGATGGTACCTTAGAGCCTCAATCAGGGAACTATGTCAACTCCCCTACGGCTGTTCGATTTTACTCTCTCAGGTCTAACTGTTTTGTGCACGCGCTGAAGTTCCGGTCAACTGTGTGTATGGTTAGATGTAGTCCTCGAATAGTGGCTGTGGGTCTTGCAACACAAGTAAGCTCTAGCTTATTGGAGACAATCATGGGATTAAAGTAAATTAACAACTGCAAGTTTTATTATATTATATTGTATTATTAAAAAGCGGCCGCAACCGTTACGTAACGGTTGTGGTAATTACCGCTACCCGTTACGGCCGCTTTTGCAGTGTGATTGAGATTCACAGGTGTATCGGCCATAGCGGCTGCTATAGCGGTCGTAACGGTGCTGTAACGGCCTGTTACGCACCATTACGTAACGGTTCCGAATTGTATCTTTCGAAAAAACACAAAAAAAAAAAAAAAAAAAAAAATTGAAAATGGGGGAAGAGAGATAGAGAGAGAAGAGGGAAGATGGAGGAATAAGAGATAGAGAGAGAGAATAGGGAAGATGAAGAACACGTTATTGATTTGTTGAAATTGTAAAACCTATGCTATTCTATTCAGCTGCCATCACTCAACCATTTTGTTTGTGTGTCTATCTATATATTGTTTGAAAATAATAATAATAATAATAATAAGTGTGGTCATTATCTATTTGACTTGATTAATATATATATATATATATTTAGGCTTTTATTTATTCTCTTACTTTTGTCATTGTTTATCTTATATATAATAGTTAGTGATTGATTTTTTGTATAATATAAAGTCATTAATTATTAAAATAAAATGTAAAAAACTCAGTTTATAGTGATTTAAAAATATGAAATATATTGGATCAAACTTAAAAATTTATAAAAATTGATCAATATTTATTTTAAAACCAAATAAATATGATCATGGAAAAAAAATGTGCGTATCGGTAAGTTTTTTTCAAATTGTGCAAAAAATAAAAAATTCACGGTTCCGGTTACCGCAACCGTTACGCTACAGCCTTTACACTCCGCAAACGCAACCGCACCACCACCACCGTTACAGCGACCGCAACCGCTTTTCAGAACCTTGATTGTATATCAAAACTATTATTATTATGAAGAGCATCAACACACCATCTTGCTCTAAGAGATTTGGGAAATAGAACTTTGATGTTAACTTGATGTTTTCTTGAAAAAGACTGATAAAAAATTCTGGTTTCTCCCTCTTTTGAGAGGCCAAGTATGTATTTCTCTATTTTGTAAATTGGTCCAAACTTTATGGAGTCGTTTTCAGCAGTTAGGATCAAGAAGCAACCTGACAACTAAAAAGGACTAAAGAAGCATTTTCATACTGTATAAGTGTGGTACACCTACCATTGATACATTGCATTAGAGGCACTCACATTTATAAAGTTTGATTTTGTACTGTTCAAGCTTATTGTTGGGACCTAGAATTTGATGGCTAACAAATTTTTATTATGTTTGGTGGCAGATATACTGCATTGATGCACTTACGCTTGAGAATAAATTCAGTGTTCTCACCTATCCGGTGCCTCAGTTTGGAGGACAAGGAATGGTTGGGGTCAATTTTGGTTATGGTCCGATGGCAGTGGGTCCAAGGTGGTTAGCTTATGCTTCTGACAACCCACTTGTAGTAAACATGGGCCGCTTAAGCCCAAAGAACCTTACTCCGTCTCCAGGTGCTAGCCCATCAACATCACCCAGCAGCGGTAGTTTGATGGCCCGTTATGCAATGGAATCTAGCAAACAGCTGGCTGCTGGTATAATGAATCTAGGTGATATGGGATACAAAACTCTGTCTAGATACTGTCCAGATGGGTCAAGTTCTCCAGTACCATCAAGTTCAGGCTGGAAAGTTAGTAAGCTTGCAGCTTCAGAAACAGAAAATACTGGAATGGTTAGTTCTGTGCACTGTGGACTCATACATACCCTGAAAGTGAAATTGGAGAACCCCTTAATTTCTATGCTTGCAACATTTAAATAGGAGTGCTTCACTGATAATAACTCTGAACTACATACAAACTTCATGAAAATGGCTTCCTTTCTGTTTTCAATACAGAACCGTTTCTTAGGGGTGATTTGGGATGTTCTAAATAAGTTTACTTTTTGATTTTTTATAAAAAGATGTGTAGAAAAATAGAGAGGAAATGTTGATTGATGTGATCCAAAAAAGATAAAAAGATAGACTAAAATAGGGTACCCCAAACAAGGTCTTAGAGAGTAGGCTGAATAAATATCTTCTTTCTCACACCATGATAGACTTGTGGACTGTTGACTTAAATATATGGAACGGTACCAACTCTTAGAGGGTAGGCTGGATAAATATCTTCTTTCTTATACCATGCAAGTCTTTAATATAACAGAGAATGGCTTCATTTTTGTTTTCGATATAGAACCCTCTTTATACAAAGTATGTTGAATATATATCTTCTTTCTCATGCCATGAAAGTCTTCATTATAACAAGAAAAAAACTTCAATTAGCGTTAGAACGCTTAGAGTTTGTAGATTATTTTTTCATGTCTTCACTGAAGAGTCACAATATTATTTGTTGATGCAAGAATAGTTTTTAATTTTCTGGTTCCCATGGTTGATTGCAGGTTGTTATTAAGGATTTTGTTTCTCGAGCGGTTATATCGCAATTTAGGGCTCATACCAGTCCAATATCTGCACTATGTTTTGATCCAAGTGGAACCCTTCTGGTTACTGCTTCAGTACATGGAAATAACATAAATATCTTCCGGATCATGTCATCTTGTATACGCAGTGGATCAGGCAATCAAACCAATGATTGGAGCTCTGCTCATGTCCATCTTTACAAGTTGTATCGTGGAATAACAACAGCTGTACGTATAACTTTAATTCTGAGATTGTTATTTGTTATTACCCTTTCTTGCAGATGGTGTAATGGTTTTCGTCTATCTTCTCTTGTTTGTTATTTGATAGATCATCAAAGACATTTGCTTCAGTAATTATAGTCAGTGGATTGCTATTATCTCAAACAAGGGGACTTGCCATATCTATGTTCTCTCTCCTTTTGGTGGTGATGCTGGCTTTCAAACTCTCAATTATCATGGCGAAGATACCTCCTTGTATCCAGTTTTGTCTCTACCATGGTGGTCTACTTCATCTTTCATTATTAACCAGCATTCTTCTCCACCGCCACCTCCTGTTACCCTCTCTGTGGTTAGCCGGATAAAAGATAATTGCTCTGGGTTGCTTAATTCAGTTACTAATGCTGCTGCTTCTGCAGCAGGAAAGATTTCTGTGCCATCTGGTGCTGTTGCTGCTGTTTTTCATAATGCCATGTATTATGGCTTTCGAGATGTTCAGTCAAGGGCGAGTTCCTTGGAGCATTTGTTGGTTTATACTCCATCAGGTCATGTTGTTCAATATGAACTTCTGCCATCAGTCGGGGTAGAACGAAGTGATAGTGGTTTAAGAACTAGGTCAGGTTCCTACATGCATACCCAAGATGTAGAGTTAAAGGTGAAGGTTGAACCTGTTCAATGGTGGGATGTATGCAGAAGATCAGACTGGCCAGAGAGAGAAGAATCTATTTCTGGGACTACCTTTGCCAGACAGGAAGTTGCAGAGATAATTGGCAATAACTATAGAACAAATTTTCTCGACATGAATGACAGCGATGGGGGGAAACACATGGTGAAAAGTGATTCACTAAAGCCACATGGGAGATCACATTGGTATCTATCCAATGCAGAGGTGCATATAAACTCTGGGAGATTACCAATCTGGCAAAAATCCAAGGTATTTTTTCGTTAGACTCGTGACACCTTTATATTTTGTGCTCTATCTTGGTTGTGATTCATCATCATCTTTGCTCTTAGATTCGCTTCTATATGATGAGTCCTCCAAGAGTCAAAGGTTACGTGGCTGGGGAGCTTGAAATTGAGCAGATCCCATTTCAAGAAGTGGAAATAAAACGGAAGGATTTATTGCCTGTTTTTGATCATTTCCATAGCATCAAGTCAAACTGGAATGACAGGTAATGACCATTTTATTTGTACCTCTTTTGGGTTCAGGTAACTGCATTTAGTTTGAATGTTAGTGTATGCATATAATTGTCAGGGAAAAAAACTAAATTAACCCTTAGAAGAATTGATATCGAATTGTACCTTTTTGTTAATTCAATTTGCAATGGAGAAATGGATTCAGGTAAATGTTATTCTTGTACTTTCAAGACACCATATGATTTTATAGTACTATAGTAGTTTTCACCGTATATAAATGTTGGTACTCACTATGCCTTACAGTTCCCAAGGGTGCATTTGGTTTACTTGTGTTTTCATTGCAATCTTAAATGGGGTGAAGTCATTTCCAAATCCTAGAATTCGATTACTCATAATGGGGAGAATTTCAAGATAGAAGGGGGGCAGATGTCATAATAATATTTGAGTGAGGTAAAGAAATATTGCTGATTTGTTATCAGAACTCCCCTGCTGGTATGTCATTATTTCAAGCCCTTTCTCCACCACCATAATCATTAGAAAACTCACTACCTGTTTGATGTTGATTCCATTTTATGATATAGATGCTTGCGATGATAAGAGTTCCATTCATATTGTAGTTTGTTGTTGAAGCAAGTGTCTAGTGGTAGACTGCCTGCATAAGGACTTGCAGACTTCGATTGTTAAATTTCACTGAATTGAGAAAATGAAATGTGTTTTTAAACATTGATGTTTTATGTGTTTGCATTTCTCCACACATTCTGTCCTTGTATTGCTTGGTTTTACTACAGTGTAATTGGGTGATTGTTTGCTTGGTTGTTTTATGCAGAGGGCTTTTGGGGGAAACATATCCTAATGCTTCCATTTTGGGGCTTCATCAAGTTAGAAACAAGGTCGCTGAAGAAACTGTTTTTTTCCATTCAAATCCAGCATCACTTAGCTCCACTGAAAGCTCAGAAGGAGGTGAGTCTTAAGTTGTACTGTAATGGAGAATACAGACACTTGATTGGTCACATTTCTGAACTGTTATTAAAATGCTGAAATGAGTTTATATAGATATCTGTAAATTTTTGTGTAAATATATTGAGTTTCGCTTTAAAGAGAAAAGAGAGAGAGAATAAATAACCGTAGTAATAGTGTAAGTCACACAAGTTCGGCTATAGTTCTGGCTATCAACATTAAAGTATGATATGCTGCCTATCAGCTGCCACTATGCCAAAATTGGGCTTTAGCGGCGGTTTTTTACCGCCGTTAAAGCCTTTAACGGCGGTAATTTAGGACCGCCGTTTATACTCGTGTCGGAAAAGATAAACCGTCATGAAAGGGTAAATTACCGTTGTTAAAAGTCGACCAAAAACGGCGGTTCTTTACCGCCATAAATAGGTTCAAATTTTTAAAAAAGTAATTCTCTCTTCTTGTACCCCCAGGTCTTGAACCCTTGACCTCTAATCCAAGCACGCCAACCACTCCACCACAGCCACTCTACATGAAATATATTCTCTAAATAAATATTTAAACATTACTTTTGGTTTATTGTAGATGGTCATGTTCAACCTCTGGCCGCGCGTGGTCACCACTCGCCGGAGTTTCGCTGGCAAAGACCGCCGTCATTAACGGCGGTAATGAGAGGGCTTTAGCGGCGGTTTCGTTACTGCTGTTAAAAGAGAACTTTAGTGGCAGTTTTTTTAACAGTGGTTTCATTACCGCCGTTAAAGATACTTTAGCGGCGGTTTTTTTAACGGCGGTAACGAAACTACCGTTAAAGATACATTAGCGGCGGTATTAATGGCGGTTTTGTTACCGCCGTTAATAGTATCTTTAACGGCGGTAACGAAAACCGCCATTAAAAAAACCGCCATTAATGCCCTATTTTGGCGTAGTGTGCTTTTCTGACTTAATGATCCATTAACAGAAATGGAGCCTGTTAGGAAAAATATATTTACTAATATGATGCATATTTTGTGGCCTTGTTCTTGGTTGAATCCTATGATATAGAACTCATTCTATTTTAAAACTTTCTATCAGGATCATCGAGAAGAACTGATAATTTACTTGATTTGGATTCAAATGAATGCCGAGTAAACCTATACACCCGTTAGTGGATACTGTGAATACATTAAATCGGGAAAGAAGAGGGAATACCAATGTTGAGTCCTCCGTACTGAACCAGAAATCCTTGGCTGTTGTATCTTTGCCTTCTGAGCATTCAAAGAACAGTGATTGTCATGTCGATGACACTGTGCCTTCCTGTAGAAGAGCTATTGCTGAAGCAGCTCTGACTTCAGATGCTTTTGATTCTGCTATGAATACGAGCCTGGAGGGTTCTACACCTTCAAGACTGCAAAATATTGTGGATTTTGGGCCATTTTTTCGGGAGGGTTACTGCAGAGTGTTGGAGCTCAATGGATGCCACAACGTAACTGAAGTTGTAGCTGATCATGTGACCTGCAGCGAAAAGAACTGTGAGAGCCTAAACCCCGAAGATGATGAGGAGAATGATGAATTGCTAGGTGGGATGTTTTCTTTCTCCGAGGAAGGTAAGATTGTGAAAAACAGCTGCTAACCATATTGTTGCATAAACTTCTATTTTCTTGTTAAATTATGTAGTTGAACCCGGCACGTGCCCATTCTTTTGATGCAGGTTGATTCATAGCCTCCCGGAGGAGAACTGCCGAATGCATGTTATTTACAGAATCATTGCTTTCCAAATATTGTGAAAATGGTTTTCGATTAATTACTGAAGGTAATAGTGATTGCATCCGTCAAGAATCACAGTGCAAGTGTTTGCAATACTGTGCATATGAGCGGGGTGCATGTTTATGTCATAACAAGCCAGTGTATGTGATCGATCTCTCTCATGTACATTTTGTAGATGAAAGTTTATAATTCACGGAGGGTCTAGCATGGGTCCGGAGGATTAAGTTTCCGACTCTTGGAAGAAGTAGGTTTGGGGTTTTCACTGCCTAGTCTTTTCTTTCAAGCTGCCTGTAGAGCCATATTTCAATTTCGGTATTGATTAAGTTCTCTCCAAATTGTATAAATATTTTATCTTCAAAAATAGAAAAAAAAAATGTGGAAATGGAAAGGGATGAAAGTACGTTTCGATCGCAATTTTTTTTATTATTTATATTTATTCTTCACATTTGCTGCTGCTTGAATGCTGATTGCTCTACATAGTAATTAGTGATATGCATGAATGGCTTGATTTATTTTTTGAATAATACTATATGTATTAGTTAATGTACTAACTAATATACTAATAGATGATGTGGTATAATTTTAGAGGTTTTAGGTATTTATAATTTGTATAATAGGTAAGAGCAATAATAATGGTATAGCACTAGTTGGTATACTAGTGTATACATTAATTGGTGCATGTAGTATTACCAACAGAAAGTGTTGAGACTCCATCTATGCGAAAGTACAATTCTCTCTCTGGTTTGGTTTAGTTTTAAAAGTCGCCATTTGATTCTATTTTAAAATTTGGAAAATTGATTATAGTTGTTTTATTATGATTTGGTCGCAATTAAACCAATTTGAATCATGCACCCTTTAATCAATTGGAATCCCTGCTTAAGGGTCCATAGAACCCTCTTTTGACCAATCAAATTCTCATGTTTGGTTCATTTTATTATCTATATCACTTGTTATCCAATGGTGCACAGAAAATGTCTAATTGTATAGTTGTCATGATAGTCAACATATAAATGCCAATTATTTAGAGTTAAATAATTATTATTCTGTGTTTGATGCACGAATCGATGTGAACAAGAATGTATTATTCCGACTACGTTTAAACCTAACGAAAGGCTAGTTGTTTTTACGTTGATTCTTAACTTTTTTCTATTTGTGTTATGTTTTTTAATTTAATTTTTTTACTAGAAGGACAATAGGGCAATGCCGTTTTGGTCAACAATTATATTCTTGGTAATTATGTTACTTTGACAATTCATCATAACCTTAGTCTATAATATATTGAAGTTCTTGTTTTTGTTTATTTTTACTTTTTAAAAATGGCTTTAAATAAGTCAGTGGGTTCACATGGGTCAAACCAAGCCATTAAGAGTATTAACACCAAACCTTTTAAAGTTTTAGTCAAATTAAAATTATTTCATTATTTTAGTTTATCGCTTTTTATCACTTATTGTATTAAATTTTTTATTCTAACTTATTCTTATTAAATATTATTGTCTTATTGTATTTATTAGTCTTTCTTTTTTTATTAAATTGATAAGTTACTAGTTAAATAATTCTTAAAAAAAGCAAAAAAAAAAAAATTAGTCGTTGACCGGTTGACTGGCCGGATGTCTGGCAGGACTTCCTGCCGGACATCCGATAACATTATTGTAGCGATGAACAGTGCCTCGCTTGTTGTAACGAGTTATTGTATCACTCGTAAATTAGCGACCTACTGTAGCGAGATTTATGCAGCCCCGTTTTTGATGAACAGTATCATCAAATGTGACAACCCTCACCACTGATTAGTGCTAATCTATGATTAAGCATGTTAAGTGACTGATTGACTGAAATTCTGACTGATTGATTGAGTGTATTAGTTTGAATGCATGTCTATCTGTTTGACTGCTAATGATCTGTTCATGTTTTATGTTTTAAACTGCAAATTGAAGACCTTATCGGCGGCCGAATCCAGAATTGATTAGTGTTTTGTGTTAATTAGAATTAATGTGATTTTATGGTAAATTTAGTTGAAATTTGATTTGGTATGATTAGGTTGGATTAAATAAGTTAAATTACATTAGTTGGACTTATCTATCATTTTGCAACTTAGTAGGCCACTTATTCACACCTTGAGGCTTGAGCTACACACTTAGACACAACATTTCTTCAGCCCTTTTCTTGAGCCTAAACCGACTAGAGAGAGAGAGAGAGAG